GACATGAAATATTTCTGGGTTTAAACCAATAAAAACTATTTTATCATTTGAATTTGAGTTTTATTGGTTGATGCTTTAGATGAAAAGCAGAGGGGAAACTTTTATTTGTTCATTTCTGTGAAGTTTGTCAAAGTTTGATCGAAAGTATAAACAACATTTATAACAATAGGAACGACATTGTTGATTCATTTACTAATTAAATGATTAATTAGTTGCACACAGGAAGCCTGACAGTCTGAAACTTCTTCTATTGTCCTTTACTTCTCCACTGCCTCCCATTAAAAATAAATAATGAGCATCTATAACTGCTTTTATGAGATTACAGCCAACTGAACGTGGCCTAGTCAAAGTCTTGTGCCCTCCTTGTTGCATTTAGGAGTGACTGGTAATTGAACCTGCAACCGTCACTCTACCCTGGAGCTTTGATGATTCAGATTTTAAATTGAATAATCCTGGGTAACCAATAATTTATGCTCTGAAAGCAAACACTGACATCCATCTGAGAGCTTTAATTACGAACCACTTTGTGTCAAATTTGACCCGAGTGAACCATCTGAGCGCTCATCCTATCTGTGCTGACGGCGGGTCACGCTGCCAGGCTCCGCTTCATTTATCTTCTGTCTTCAGCTCCACAGAAGTGACTAATTATGAGCGTTATGCAGCGCGTCGCATTATCATTACTGAGGAACAACAAACCTCTGCTCAACTGCTCTTTGTGATGCCATGCTTACCACGGCGCCGCGTCCGGCTCCTCATCCGCAGATCCTAGAATGAACTTAATGAGCTGCTTCTAAAATCACAGATCTACAAACTCATCGTACCACGTTGTTGGTGCGAGTCGAGTTTTCATGACAGAAAAACTTACAGCCTGAATGTAATTAGCGTCTTAGGGTTAGTAAACCCTAAGACTGAAGAAGAGATTTATTTCTGCAATGCTTCCAAATGTTTTAGAAAAAGCTTAAATGATTTTTGATGAGTTATTTTTTATGAAAAACTAATGAGAACAACTCTGATTCTGATTTTGCCAACAGCTTGTTGGAGTGAAAATGATTTAAAATCCAAATGTTTCAGGTCTGTAAACTATTTATATGTTTATTAAAGGTTTTGTGGCTCCAGTGGCCTTTATTTGCTGTACTTAATGAAAATGTTTCTGTACAAACACAGATGTGTTCGTACATATCTGTGTATGAACACATCTGTGTACGAACACGTTAGCGCCCCGCCGGATCAGGGCGCTAACGCCCTGCCGGCGCAGGGCGCTAACGCCCCGCCGGATCAGGGCGCTAACGCCCCGCCGGATCAGGACGCTAACGCCCCGCCGGCGCGCCGCTGCATTCAGCCGGCGTCTCCAGGGAGGAAGTGACATTCAAGGCAGACGGGTGGCACATCACGTCCGCTGACTGATCGCTAAGTGGAAACAGATGTAGAATATGGACAGAAAATGACAGAAGGTCTGGATCGCTCGGTAGGTGGGCGGCCGAAGCTGCAGACACTTTGCTACATGAGAGTGACTGAGAAACGAGGAACTTTTATTATTTATGTGGAAAAACTCTGCAGTTTGTCTGCAGGAGGTTTGACATTAATCCTGTGTGTAAGAGTGGAGCAGCTGGGACAGCTGAGTCTTTGTGAATATATGCTAGATTAAACTGGATAATAAAGCTACGCTAAACTGACAGCCAGTCATTTCTCTTTATCTTTAAATATGAAATCGCAGCATTACTGCTTTACTGATTCTGTTTTTTCTCCTTTAAACTCGAATGTTTCACATCATCAAACAGTTTAATCTCAGGGAAAGAACCTGAGTTTCTGATGCTGATTTGTTTCGTGAGGGAACAACAGCTGATACCGAGCCGTTAGCATCTCCAACCTGCTCCGCCTTCATTTCATTCCTTAAACTTTGAGGTGTCTTAAAGGGCCAGTACTCTGTGTTTTCCAGGCAAACAACCATTTTATAGAACAATCAAGCAATTATGTTGCCTTCTGTTGTTATAAAATATGACTCCAATATGACTGAAAGGAAATTCACTTCCTGATTAAACACCTTGGAATTGGGCCTCTGTCTCTTTAAATTTCCTGGTCCTTCTGAAGCTCTGCCTCCAGGAAGTCATCCCAGCATGGCTCCTCTATTAACCCTTTAACGAGTGCTGCTCTGAGCAGCAGTTCCAATAAAGAGCTCAGCAGCTGTTTGCTAATTGATGGAGGCTAGTCTGAAGGAGTTAAGTGGGGGAGGAGCTAAACCTCAGGGGCAGAGTGAGGTCCACCCAGATTTCTCAAACATGAAAGAATCAAAGCAAAACCTCAGGTTTGATTTTATAACATGACAGAAAGATTCAAAAGGTGGACTTTAACGAAGGACCAGTTAAAGGCCACTAACACAGACTGTCATGGCGGCGGCAGCAAGCGACTCAGGCCCTGTTTCCATGACAACAGTTCCTGGTGAAAATGGAAGTTTTGTTGTGTTTGTTCTGTACATTTACATGAAACCACTGAATGTTTCCTCTGACCACAGATGGAAATGGTTCTGAAACGGACCGGTACCCATTGTCCAGCAAACAGAATAAATGATTCTTTTCTGTCAGGGAATCTCAGCTCATGTATAGTCTGACACAAGACAGAGCTGCTCCCTAAATCCACAGAAGAAGAAGAAACTACTGACTGTTGGTGTTTCCCATCAGATCCGGTTCCCCCAGCGTCTCTCCAGCGCTCTGCACCGCCCAGGTGACATAATACGCACCTGCTGCTCGAGCTCTTGAACTGCGGCACTGAGAGCTCAAACAACGAGTTTCAGTGAAGTGATCCCACTGTTTTCCATCTGCACCCTGATCAGACCCACTCTGTGTGAGTTTTCCCCAGTACCCGGGGTACTGGTACCTGATGGGAATCGATACCTGATGGGAATCAATACCTGATGGGAATCGATACCTGATGGGAATCGATACCTGATGGGAATCGATACCTGATGGGAATCAATACCTGATGGGAATCGATACCTGATGGGAATCGATACCTGATGGGAATCGATACCTGATGGGAATCAATACCTGATGGGAATCGATACCTGATGGGAATCGATACCTGATGGGAATCAATACCTGATGGGAATCAATACCTGATGGGAATCAATACCTGATGGGAATCAATACCTGATGGGAATCGATACCTGATGGGAATCGATACCCGATGGGAATCGATACCCGATGGGAATCGATACCTGATGGGAATCGATACCCGATGGGAATCGATACCCGATGGGAATCAATACCTGATGGGAATCAATACCTGATGGGAATCGATACCTGATGGGAATCAATACCTGATGGGAATCAATACCTGATGGGAATCGATACCTGATGGGAATCGATACCTGATGGGAATCGATACCTGATGGGAATCAATACCTGATGGGAATCGATACCTGATGGGAATCAATACCTGATGGGAATCGATACCCGATGGGAATCAATACCCGATGGGAATCAATACCTGATGGGAATCGATACCTGATGGGAATCGATACCTGATGGGAATCAATACCTGATGGGAATCGATACCTGATGGGAATCGATACCTGATGGGAATCAATACCTGATGGGAATCGATACCTGATGGGAATCGATACCTGATGGGAATCGATACCTGATGGGAATCAATACCTGATGGAATCGATACCTGATGGGAATCAATACCTGATGGGAATCGATACCTGATGGGAATCAATACCTGATGGGAATCGATACCTGATGGGAATCGATACCTGATGGGAATCAATACCTGATGGGAATCAATACCTGATGGGAATCAATACCTGATGGGAATCAATACCTGATGGGAATCAATACCCGATGGGAATCAATACCCGATGGGAATCGATACCTGATGGGAATCGATACCTGATGGGAATCGATACCTGATGGGAATCAATACCTGATGGGAATCGATACCTGATGGGAATCAATACCTGATGGGAATCGATACCTGATGGGAATCGATACCTGATGGGAATCGATACCTGATGGGAATCAATACCTGATGGGAATCGATACCTGATGGGAATCAATACCTGATGGGAATCGATACCCGATGGAATCAATACCCGATGGGAATCAATACCTGATGGGAATCGATACCTGATGGGAATCGATACCTGATGGGAATCAATACCTGATGGGAATCGATACCTGATGGGAATCGATACCTGATGGGAATCAATACCTGATGGGAATCGATACCCGATGGGAATCAATACCTGATGGGAATCGATACCTGATGGGAATCGATACCTGATGGGAATCAATACCTGATGGGAATCGATACCTGATGGGAATCAATACCTGATGGGAATCGATACCCGATGGGAATCAATACCCGATGGGAATCAATACCTGATGGGAATCGATACCTGATGGGAATCGATACCTGATGGGAATCGATACCCGATGGGAATCGATACCCGATGGGAATCAATACCCGATGGGAATCGATACCCGATGGGAATCGATACCTGATGGGAATCAATACCTGATGGGAATCAATACCTGATGGGAATCAATACCTGATGGGGAATCAATACCCGATGGGAATCGATACCCGATGGGAATCGATACCTGATGGGAATCGATACCTGATGGGAATCAATACCTGATGGGAATCGATACCTGATGGGAATCGATACCTGATGGGAATCGATACCTGATGGGAATCAATACCTGATGGGAATCGATACCTGATGGGAATCGATACCTGATGGGAATCAATACCTGATGGGAATCGATACCCGATGGGGAAAAGCGAAACAAGTTCTTCAAGTAGAACTTTTTTTTAAACACATACAGACTTAGTTTCAAGAGCATTACAGCTTCTCGATGTGGACCGTGTCTTTGTTAAAGATTGTAATTAGAACATCTTCATGTAAATGTGTTACCAGCAACTAAACAAAAATGTAATTTTTGTTGTATCATTGTGATGTAAACAGGGCCTAACATGGTGGCGTTTCCACTCACTGGCAGAACGGCAGCAGAGCCAGCAGCGTCTCTTTGGTGGGCCGGGCGGTGAACTCTGGCAGCGCCTGGATCAGCTTGTTCATCACCGTGCGCAGGTAGCCCTGCAGCTGCTTCCTCCGCTCCTCCACGAACTTAGCATCCTGCAGGCAGACAGACGAGGAGGAGGAAGGAACACCTTTATTTATAAATGTCACAGTTCCACACTAAATGTTGAATCAAAAGTTATTTAGCTCCAAATTAAAAAAATATTTCCCAAATTCAACATTTAATCTCCAGACAAATAATAAATAATTCAGCCAAAATATTAAGCTCAAACTAAACACATAGCTACCAAGATAATTATTTAGTTTGCAAGCTAAATTTATCGCTAACAACCTAATTATGTAGTTAGCGTGCTTGACTGTTTACTAAATATTTATTTTTCAATCTAATATAACTACGTATTTAGTTAGTTAGCTAATGTCTGAACTAAATAGTGAATCAAACACGTCACTTGATCAACTGAAGCGATTTAGCCAGCAGAGAGTTTATACACAGGTCTGTGAGAGACGGCTTTTATTTTGATAGTCCATTTATCACTAAACAAATTAGCATATTAGCTAAATATTTAGTCAGCAAGCTAAATAATTACACTGGAAAATAAATATTTACTTTGGAAATAGGTATTTAGTTAATCTAAATATTTAATTTGGAGTGAGATATTTAGTTTGCAAACTAAATATGTAGTGTGAAACTATGGAATTTATAAATGAAAAAGGACAAAACCCCAAGGTTTCTAAATAATCTAAATTATTGCTGTTTGTTTTTGTTGTCACATGGCCACAGTTAGCCCGGCGAATCAGCATCCAATATTGCTCAAACAAAGCCTGGACGGCGCGGCGGCTCGGTTCGGTTCGGTTCGGCAGTGCAGTTCTTCCTGCTTGGTAACAGCTGAACTGTGCGGAGCGCAAGTGATTCAGCTGACAGCAGAATGCGCTCGCTGATCGGTCCACGATCAAGAATGAAAGAACGAAAGATGAGAAGAGGAAAAGAGAGAGAAAAGAGAAAGAAGGAAAGAAAAAAGACAGAATGAGCAAAATAAAGACAAATAGTGAAAGAAACAAAGAAGAAAAAACAGACGAGGGAAGAAAGACAAACAGAAAATCAAAAAACACAGAAAGATGAATAGAAAGGCTTAAAGAAACAAAGAGACAAAGAAAGAATAAAAACAAACATTTGGATTTACAATCCAAATGAAAACATTTGGATGTTTTCATTTGACATTTGACAGGTCAATTGTCCTGACCTGGAAAACCCTTAAATTCCAGGTTTTTCCAGGAGGAGACGGAACGCCTGGATCCAAAGGAAGCCATGAAACGACAGGAACTTCTGCTAAACGTCTTTCCACCAGCGAGTCCAGAGGAAACTCCAACGGTTAAATGAGGAAACCTGGGCTCAGAGTTTGGCAGCTGGACTGAGTGGAACAGAAGAGGAGAGGTGCATGCTGGGCCGGCAGGACAGGAAAACAGCCGCTTTCACGCTGCATCGACACAAAGAGACGCTTTCACACTGCAGAAGTAATGAGTCTAAAGAAAGTTGTGACAGATTCCTGCTGGAGACGCAGACGAGGCCAGGTGTTTGACACAGAGGGAAATATTATGACGGCTGAATATTCCCTCCCACACATTGGGATCAGAGATATTTCCTCGTTGCTGCTTTAACCATCAGCAACTTCTGAGGAGTCGGATGCACAACAACTAGAAACTCCCATCCAGCAACTTTCACATGCTTCCCGTCTCCACCACGAGAGTCAAACATGGTGGAGACTCAGCAGAAACCTGAATAAACCTCCTCATGGTCCAGTCGACCCGGTTCTACTGGAACCAGAACTTCTGCTCCACCTCCAGCTGCTGGTTCTGACCCAAACCAGCCTGTTCCCCTCCTGGCCTGTGGGGGCGCTGCACCAACAACCACTGCAGGAAACGACACTAAAACCTCTGAAGACACTGAGAGCAACTTCCTGTTTCACCAGATGAAACAAGATGGAGGCGTCAGAGTTTAGTGATTTCTCTTTAGTCTTTGGCTGAAGAATAGGAGCCATTTCTGCTGCTAGCGCTAGGCTAACACGTTAGCATTGGTTGTATTTACCCAGAATGCCCTGCACTGAAGTGCACTTCCTGCTTTTGGAGCGCTCTCTGGTCCGCTTGGCTTTCACATTCAAACAGAACCAGACTGAGGTATGGAGGACCAGAGGTCAGAGGTCAGTTCACACCTCACCAACAAACCAGATTTTAGAGGAAAACGGACTGGAGTCGGGTGAAAGCAGACTGGACTGGTGCGAATGTGTCCAGCCCAGTACCAGACTTGTTTCTCTGAGTTTGGACCTGTTTGCAGTGCAGACCAGTGGAAATAAAGCGCTGCAGTCTGGCTCTGCTGTTAGCGCCGTTTCTGCTGTTAGCGCCGTTTCTGCTGTTAGCGCCGTTTCTGCTGTTAGCGCCGTTTCTGCTGTTAGCGCTGTTTCTGCTGTTAGCGCCGTTTCTGCTGTTAGCGCTGTTTCTGCTGTTAGCGCTGTTTCTGCTGTTAGCGCTGTTTCTGCTGTTAGCGCCGTTTCTGCTGTTAGCGCTGTTTGCCTTGCTTTCATCAATTACAAATAGAGTCTTTGAAAATCGAAAAGTGACTTTGATACACATGCACACGTAAACACGCACACACACGCGCCAGCAGGGCTTTTACATTTTATTTCCAGCTAATGATGAAGAAATGTTAATGCTGGGATTGCATTCTGCCTCTGATATTTGACTGTGAGACCTTCAAAGGCTTTTTTAACGGCGCCATGAATATCTGCTCAGCTGCACTTCGCTCTGCTGAGGATGAAACACACCAGCTGTCAGTGGTGATCAGGTAGCAGGGGGAATGAGCACGCACACGCACGCACGCACGCACACACACACACACACACACACACACACACACACCCTGCTAACTGTATTACATGCCAAGGACTTTCAGTTTTATGCCTGTTAACATGCGCTCCCATGCAGAGACGCTTTCTGAAGCAGACTGACAGCTCAGTGAGGAGCAGCTGCAGCGCCGCTGTGATGGAGGGAAACTTCTGCTTCTCTGCTACCCGAACGGCAGCATGCTGCTCAGACGCCGCGGCTCAGACGCCGCTGCAGCCTGCACCGACGGCAGACACTCACTGGGGCTTTGGTTTCAGAATTATTATTATCTATTTCCATCAACGTTACTTTAACTTCCCAGCAGGAGCTTGAATTGATCGGCGGGTTCTGCCACTTCATAAAGATTTCTCCAGAACATCCCAGGATTTCCAGGAGCAGACTTAGTAATTAATTACACACTTTAAGATTTAAACATGTTTTTTGACAGAGACGTCCTTCGAGAAACCTAAACGTGCTTCTGGTTTAGTTTTCATGCATCTTCAGGTCATTCAGTCGTTTCCATTTCAGGGAATCTTGGTTTCTTACTTAGTGACCTGAACGCTGCGTTAAAATGTCTCACCAAGTGGTGAGGGCTGCCAAAAGTTATCTGACAAAATTAAAGAGCACCATCAGAGTTTTCTGTCTGTTTTTTTTAAATGGTCAAAGATGGAAAATCTTTAATATGACCTCTGACCCGGAGTGCAGATATCAATGCAGATGTTTTTGTTAATTTTTCCCACAATCTGCCTGAGATCCGCTGGCAGATCAGACAGGATCATCATGAGTCCGTCAGAAGAGCAAAAGGGCCGACTCCAGGCCGGTCACAGCAGCAGGGTGACCTCTGACCTTTGAAGCTGTGCAGCCTCTTTCTCTGACGCTCTGCATTGTGTCATTCAGTCCTGATAATGAGTTTCTCTGCATCTGCCGATGCTTCAGGCAAGACCGGCCAGCTGCCGATGCATCACACACACACACACACACACACACACACACACACACACACACACACACACACACACACACACACACACACACACACACACACACACACACACACACAGCTCCTAACCAGCTGATTGATCCTGTTAAATCGCTGCAGCTTTCATCAACTTTTGACCAAAAATCAGATTTTATTCGTTGCTCCTCCTCTCGCCATCCTGGGAGTCGAGTTTTGGGCTCCGGTGTAAAATCTGATATCTACGATGTGCATTACAGAAAATCATCAACAGAAAATATGAAGAAATACGTTTTCCTGAGGTTTGGTCCAGTGCTTCAGAAAACCATCAAACCAAACTGCATCAGAATAAAATCAGGCTACAAAGAATCAAACAGCAAAAACTGCATCAAGAAGAAACTGGCGCCACAAACGTTAGTCCTCCAAGCCACTAGGGGGCGGCAGCTAGCTGGTCGCTAACGTTACAGAATCTGCTGTTCTGTAATTCTGGAGACTTTTCAGTTTCACATTTTACTCTCCTTTCATAGAAAGTGATCGACACAAAGTATTTTTATTTTGCTAGCCATGTTTTCTTTTTATTTTGGTTACTTTAACGTTTTTGAACAAAGTTCTCATTTTTGTTCTTTGGGAATAAAAATATTTTTTATACCAAAATAAACTGAAAACCAAAATGTTTGAATCACTAAAATACTTTGTTTTATTTATTGATGAGCATAAAAAATTTCACAAAACTTTTCAGTTTCTAAAAACAAAATGGCCCCTGAATTTATCTGGTCCCAGATCTGAGTCAAATGTACGGATATAAAATCATACTTTTTAAATGTAAGGGAGCTGCTTAGAGCCGGGCATGTTTGTGTTTATGGTTTATGAGTCATGAGGTCGTTTGGAGGTCATCTGGACGGACAGGAAGCAGAGACCTGGTGGGAACATCAGCAGCAAACTGAGTCACTGCTGCTGCTTCACAGATTAAATGAATACGTTGAAGCAGGGAAGTGGTTATATAACCACCGTGGTAGGTCAACATGCACGTGGATTTACTAATTTTAGGATTTTAATTAATTTGCTGGTGAATTAATGGCTGCAGCGTAGCATCCATGAGCTTTTAATAAGACGGCTTTCGCTTGTTATAAACTAACAGTGTGAAGGAAGAGTCGATTTCTGCTTTCATTTGGTTAGAAGTTTAACAGCAGCTCAGCTGGAGGAGGAAAGGTGTTCAGCTCTGAAAACCAGCAAGCAGAACAAAACACAGACTGGACGGAAATAATGAAGACAAAACACACACACACACACACACACACACACACACACACACACACACACACACACACACACACACACACACACACACACACACACGCCCAGACTTCACTAATCTGCCACTTAAATCTCAGGAAGCTTTAAATCTTTATCCTGCTGCTTCCTGTTTCTCAGTCTGGCCTCAAATCTTTCCCTTCTGTTTCTGGTGATGAAGATGCTTTTTTTAAACCGGTTCTGTCCTTCGCTTTCCTTCACAATCATCTCACAGCTGAACCCAACAGAACCTGAACTTTACTGGAACTCTGGCCACTTTATTAGGAACACCTACTGGGTACTGGACTGGAAACGTAATTTATTCCTAATGGATGTTGAATCGAGATAAAATGCTTTGGCCCAGATTGCCTTGGCAGCATCCAGACAAACAGTGCGACCTCACCTTGTTTCCAATGGCTTTCTTGGGTGGAAAGCTGAAGGTGTCCACCTGTGGGAACTGGGACCTCAGCTGGTTGTGCAGCTCTCTGAACTCGGTGTAGCGTCTGTAGACGTTCCACTCGTTGTCCAGGATGCGGATGTAAACCTGAGGACAGGAAGACGCATCAACCGTCACTCATCTGCGCCCGCCGGCTGGGATGTGCTCACCACGCGGCTCAGTGATGCTTCGGGATAAACGGCTCGTCCTTTTCTCCACTCATACAGAAACAAAACAGAACGTGTCTGCGGTCATGACTGCACCGCCACCATTTCCATGCACCATTAGCTGCTTCATTCAGACGCATGAAAGATGGAGGGAGAGACAGAAAGAGATGAGCCTATTAGAGGACAGAGAGGAGAGTCGGGTTTTATTCTCACCAAAGGAAAAACAGGCGAAACAAAACACACAAACGGCTGAAGAGCTTTTAACACAAACAGAGAGAAACATGAATACAGAAACATCAGGATCCCAACAGGGAAAATCATCAATTAATTCAAGAACATAACTGGATAACATCTTCTCTGTTTGAGCCGCCAGCAGCTCAGTTCATGAAATCAAATGACAGAAAAACTCAAAGTAGAGGATGGATGTGAAGTAGGAGGACATTAGCTGCTTCAAACAGAAATTAGCTGAATGGAAAAACTCCCGTTTTCAGTAAAAAGCTGTTTAGCTGGGATGAGGTGGTTTTTATTAAATAGATGTTTCACTGAACTGCAATGGAAACATTTTTTTCACATCATACGAGTCACATGATCAACATTCGGATGTTACTACTGGTGAAAACTATGAAGACGACGACAGGAAGTGATCTTCATGGTTTCTTCAGAGCCTCACAGTTCGTAAAAAGTCATTCAACGTGTTGAATCAATAACTGATAACTGATCACTGCCTGGGGCCCTCTGATTGGCTGAGTGCCAGGAATTATGATCATCTCATGTTTACATCCGACGCTGCCAGGATTAGTGACTTGCTGTGATTTTAATTCCATTTCTATTATGAAACTGTGTTTCACCTGGTAGTAAAAATCATTTCTGTTTTTATTTCCACCTGGGATCCAAACTTTAACAACTTGTAAACAGTCATGTTTAGTCAATAGATTCATATTTTCCCTTCAGGTCAGATAAATTAACATGTTAATACATTATTAACCATAATAATGTACTATTATAATACATTATGGTTAAATGCTTTAAATGATCTTCAGTCTGAAACGGTTTGAAAAGATCCATACATTTAATCAGCTTTCATTGCTGCGTTATCAGAGGAAGCAGCTTTAAATGTGACTAGCGGTCGGATGAACGGGTCCAAGCAGAACCAGAACCAGAGTTTAACGTATCTGAGGTCGGTTCCAGCTGCTCCATCCAACAGCAACGGTCTAATCAAAGTACAGCATGCAGGGTTTTTATTTCCAGACTCCACTACCTGCCACTTCCAATCACTACGCTCCAGCAGTCTGTGTGTGTCTGTGTGTGTGTGTGTTTGTGTGTGTGTGTGTGTTTGTGTGTGTGTGTGTGTCTGTGTGTTTGTGTGTGTGTGTGTGTCTGTGTGTGTGTGTTTGTGTGTGTGTGTGTGTGTCTGTGTGTTTGTGTGTGTGTGTGTGTCTGTGTGTGTGTGTGTTTGTGTGTGTTTGTGTGTGTGTGTGTCTGTGTGTTTGTGTGTGTGTTTGTGTGTGTGTGTCTGTGTGTGTGTGTGTTTGTGTGTGTCTGTGTGTGTCTGTGTGTGTGTGTTTGTGTGTCTGTGTGTCTGTGTGTGTGTGTGTGTGTGTGTTTGTGTGTTTGTGTGTGTGTGTGTGTGTGTGTGTTTTTTGTGTGTGTGTGTGTGTGTGTGTGTGTGTGTGTGTGTGTGTGTGTGTGTGAACTCTCCAACTCGTTCTTCACACAACTATTTCGGTCCGGTTTGCCGATGTGTCCGGCTCGGCAGCCGCTTCCAGGAGAGACTGTGAAACTCGGCGCTTCCATCGTCTAATTAAACAATTAGCGTCTCTTTCCGCCCACAGCCAAAGAGCATGCTGGGAAAAGTCTCACAGTTTTCCCTCCCAGCGTCAGAACGGCTTCATTGTTTTCATTTAAAACTCAGTTTTATTAGTTTGGACCAAGTGTTCAGTTTAGTTTTGTTGTATTGTTTGAAAATGCTTCTTTTCAGTTTAGTTTTAATTTGTTTCAGTTGAACTTTATTTTTTTAACATAAAAACAGGAACAAGTATCGCTTGTGTGACTTTTATTTTAGCATTTATTTAGCGTCTCAAAGTTCAGATGATCACACCAGGAAATAGTTTCACGTTTCTAAAACGGATCACGTTGGAAGGGGTTAAAGGTCACCACTGAACATAGCAAATATTAAACAAATCAACATTTGATGCAAAACAGAAAAGGATGTAAGCAGCAGCGTAGAAACTGATTCATCTTGAGATTCACGTTTGCTATTCAAACCAGAACAGCAAAGTATGTTTCCTTCAGCAACAATTATGTAAAACTAAAAGAAAACAATGTTTAGTCGTCTCTTACATCCTGACCGATGCAAGAGAAGCAACAAACGTTTCTATGTGAACAGAAACTCAAAGAGTTTAATGTCAAAAATGAAACAAGAGTAGAAATTTAGCCACTCTAAACTCATGAATCAATGAATTTCAATCACTGCTCTGGTTTTGTGTCCATTTTTTATGTTTGACATAAAAAAACATTTCAGAAAAATCACCTTGAACAATTTCAGCTTGTGACAAATGGCTGCAATTTACCACAACTTGATCGTTGTGGTTTTGATGGAGTTGGATTAAATTCAGGCACTAAATTTGCATCAAACTCAGATGCAGGAAAACAGGAAAAGTGAATTTGTGAATCTCCAAACCTGCAAGCAGGTCGAAGCCCAGGATGAGTCTGACGTTTCCGTACTGTGGGAATGAAACGTTAAAAACATTTTGTCGACAGTATTAGGAAGCTCTGCTCTGGTGCAGAATTATGACAAAATAAAAATTAACATCCAGTCTGAAAATACCAAACAGTAATGGACTCAATTTTCTGTTTGTGGGAAATGTTTGCATGTTTTGGGTTTTAATTCTTGATGTGATCTGTTTCCTAGGTGTAGCACAAAGCGAACCGCCTTTTCTGTGATGCACTGCAGTTTATAAAAGTTAAATGATAAAACTGGACTTATTGTCATTTGTTTGTAAAACTTTGCAATATTCATAAGATAAAATTTCAAAACAGAATAGCAAACTATGTAATGAGACATTACATCTTTCAGACATCTTTTAGTTATGTAAAACTAAAAGAAAACAATGTTTAGTCGTCTCCTGCATCCTGACAGAAACCAAACATTTCATAGATTTATATTCAGGAGAAAAAATATTTTATTAACCTAGGCATCTGCAGTTTTCTCAGCTCTAATTTAAACCATATTTTACAGAAATCTGATAAGAACAGAGACGTTATGAACGTCTGGCTTCACTGATTTAACTCAGGCCCTGACAGCCAGCTTAGCGGCTAACAGGCCTCTGACTGTCACCAACACAAATACCAGGAGACTCTGATGTTAGACGGTTCATCAAATGCTGTATGAAATAAATAAATAGTCACCAGATGTAACTTTATGTTTCTGGAAGTTTTTAACATCTCCACTCATAATAACCTTAAAAACAACAACGTTTTACTGTTTTACTCAGTAAGTCACATTCCTTTCCTGTCAGGACGCTGGGCGCCGTCCGCGCCGCGTTCCTGCCAGCGCCGCACCACGATGCGACGCGCCCCCCGCGGTGACAGACAGGCCATAATGAAGCTTCAGACGGATCCAGTGCAGTTTGTCTGACGTGATGAACTGTGACAAACAATGTTCCCTCTAATTGTTCATGTGTCTGGGCGTACACACAAGCTTCCTGGGCACACTGAGGACCACTGTGAGCATCATCAGTGTACACGGCGTGGCCACGCACAAGCATCATAAATCTGGGATCATAGAAAGTTGCATGGCTTATTAAAAAAATCAAATTACATCAGCAATTTTCATTCGTTTGCTTTTAATTTAAGTGATTTGCTCAATTAAAATAAAAAGAAAAGAAAACATTGCTGTTCATGAGATGCATGCTATAAGTAAGAGTCCTGCTTCAGCCAGGGTGAGAAATGAGACATTACACCTTTCAGACATAAATGTTTGTTCAGATTAAAACATTCACATTTTGCACAATGAAATGTTTTCTGTAGCTTGTGATGCAGTATAAATTCTTGTAAAATATTTAATTACAGTTTTTTTTTACGTCTGCCCTTCTCACTTCTCCAGTGGTTGTTCACTTAGCCCAGGTTGATGGTCAGTCTGCTTCTTGCTTTATGTTCTTGAATTCAGCATATTGACTGTTAATAGCCTCCATAATCTGTGGGTGGAGGAGAATGGCCTCATACTTCTTTGCCAGTGTACAAATGTCTGCTTATCCATAGTCAAAAATCTGAACTCAACATTTCAGTATCAAATGCAGACCATTCCTTTCATTTGATTTGATTCCATTTGATCTTAGAAGAAGTGCATTTCTTTTTTTTTTACTGTGGCTTGGTGAGTGGATGTCCCACTAGACATGATAAGGTGATGGCTTTCACGTTTCTTAACTCTACCGCTCTATTCTCACCTGCACGGCCATATGACCAAGGCACGTAACCCACGTAGCGAAAGTGAACCGTATCGTATCATTTGGCTGGATTCCTGTCACTCACTGAGTTCGATCGCAAAGTAGTACGGAAAAATTTTTTTATTGGTCCATAGTCAAAACTGATGTCTGAGCTCAATGTCCACTTTATGTTGGACTTTATTTTATGCGCTACATAGATTTTCTTGTGCGCTGAGAATATGTGAGCAGAGCGCAGGCGCAGCTTAGAGGGAACACTGGTGACAAACCCTCTAACATTGTGCTGCATTTAAAAGGCCCATTAGAGCATCGCTGTGATGAAAGCAGAACCAGTCAGCAGAACCGGGCCGGTACCGCATGTCGGCTGCAAGCCGCCTGACAGCAGTAAATGTCAAGGAGACGTTTCGTCATTCCAGCATGTGATTTTTACATGTGTCCACTGAGAACGATTCAGGTGCAGAAAGATGTTTCTCCATTGATCCGTGACAGCAGCGTGTTG